CAAGAACATGGGCCTGGAACTAGAGAGGTGAAAACACACAAGTTAGTTCTGCCACTTAACAGCTTCTTGCTTTGGAGCAAGGCCTTCAGGTTCTAACCTCATGTTTCTTATCTATAAAATGGGTATTAAAATGATGGTTCTGCATAGTGTCCTAAAGTCTAAGTAGGGTCCTGGATGCAGTCTCCTGTTTGATGTTCCCGATAGAACTTCCCACTATTTGAAATAACCTTCATCTGTTTGTTTACCTGTTTATTGTTTGCCTCCCTATCTAGTAAAGAAATTCAAGGGGGACAGTGTCTTTTCTCTTCCTTTCTCAAAGTTGTTGCCCATTCCCTCTTAAGCTATATTACCTAACTCATCTTTAGGAGTTTTCCAAACAAATACCATTGCAGATACTAATGATTCCTGGGTATAATTATCCTTAACCCGCATGAGTTCCTTCATGATAATTTATAATACAAAAAAAGTTTACAGTAATTGCAAGACTGAAGTTGGTCATTTTTCAAGTTATATTTACTACATCTGCAGTATAAAGCATACAAGTCACTGTGAGAAGCTCACCTTGTAAGGCCATATATATATATATTACCCTTATAAAACAAAATCCAGAAATACAGAACATCCTGACCTCTAAGTTTCCTTACTTGTTACTCAAGAAACTGATTTAATATGCATAAATGTGCAAGAATTCAAAATATGCAACTGAGGGGAAATCTCTTTACACAACAATAGAACCAAACAAGCTCCTGTGGATTCAGAGGTTCAAAGCTAAGTCTTTATCAAAGAGCATTCTTTGGATAAAATGGTTATTATATTTCTGTTGGCCTTTAAGAAATCCCTCAAAATAATCTTGCAGCTGTTTAAAGTAGCTAACTCTACTGATACTGGATGTGTCTCTGGTCTGCACCTAATGAAGCTTGAGTTATGGAAAGCAAAGCTGATTTTGTGCCCACAAAAATGAAGTATTTTTAAAAATACAGTTAATTTTTCATTTTGACTGATTTTTCTAACCTCACATGCTGGCAGTATTTTAATGCCAAGCATGAAGTTTTAGACTCCCTCAAAACTAAGCAATGGGTGATACTAGGTGATCTTCACTCATTAGTCAGTCATAAGAGAAAGAGAAAATGCCAAAGGAGAGTTGTGATTATTATCTCAGAGGTAGTAATTTTCCTCATCATAACCCCAAGTTAGCAGTGATTTTTATGTTATAACTTTGTTTATTCAGGAATAGGCTACTTTTAAAAACTATTACATCAGAATTTGAACTACTTTCCTTTTACACTCTCAGATATGGCAGAGAAGAGGTGGCTAGGGAAACTGTTGAAATTCTCCCAAGTGTACGGTTAATACATACTTACTTCATAGTGCTGAACTGATGACTTCCGAAGAAAAGTCCCCAAATTCTTATAGGTGGAAAGAGGAATATTCTGTAAGCATTGTAATTCTCCTAGCCAAGATCATTACTCTATTATTAGCATACAATCTGGCAATGAATGGCTAACAGCAGCCACAGGGCACTATAGGAGAGAGGGAGGGGGAGTGGGGAGAGGAGAAAGGGGAGACAAGGGGGAAGAGGGGGTGAGGGAGGAGTGAGTGAGTGTGTGTGTGTGTGTGTGTGTGTCTATTGAGGGTGAGTTGAGAGATATTTAAAATTCCTTCCCTGCATTCAGTCTTTGCTACTGCTTTTGACATGTATCAATAGATAATCTACATGTAGAGAAATATCTAAAAAATATAACATTTGGAAAGTATACTAAATATAAGAACCATCCAAAGAATAGTTCTTATTGCATTTAATCCAACATTTATACCAGTTCTTTTATATAAGTACTAGGTGCTAGAAAGAGTGAAAATCTATAGAGAGATAAATAAAACAGGATTTTGAACTCTTATATTGTTGATTCCAAGTATTAATACAAAAACATAGATTCATAACAAAAAAAACCCCTCTAACTAGGGATAAACTAATTAGCAGCAGCCACATAAAATTAATGCTTTTCAATTTTTTTTATTTTTAGGAACTGATTTGTTCTTTTCTAATGATCAAGTTACCACATTTGAGTTAGTATTTTACAGTTACTCATATAAAATTTTGATTATGAACACAAATTAGCACAATGACCATCTCCCTTTTCCCCATAAGATTATCAAAGTCTGTAAATCTCTTTTGGCTACCAAGAGCGTGTGGTCTTCCTCAACTCCATTTAATTTTGATAATTGAAATCATATAATCAGTTAGTCAAATATCAGCATGGGGGCTTTCCTGGTGGCGCAGTGGTTGAGAGTCCGCCTGCCGATGCAGGGAACACGGGTTCCTGCCCCGGTAGGGGAAGATCCCACATGCCGCGTAGAAGCTAGGCCTGTGAGCCATGGCCGCTGAGCCTGCACGTCTGGAGCCTGTGCTCCGCAACGGGAGAGGCCACAACAGTGAGAGGCCCGCGTACCGCAAAAAAAAAAAAGAAAAAAATCAGCATGATGCTTCTGTCAACTTTAAAGTTCACTTCGGTAGGTAAGTGCCTCAGGGAAGAACTGCTGCTCTTGTCTAGGGTGTGAGAAATATGATTAGGCACCCAGGCTCTCCGAAGCATGGGGCTGACTCAGGAGCTGAGCCACCAACTAATTTGAGACCTTAATTTCTTAATTTCTCAGTACCTCAGTAACCTCATTTCTAGGCAGATGATAATAATCCCCACCTCACAGGGTGGTGATGAGGATAAAATGACATAATTCACACATATTCCTTATACCAATGCTTTGCTCATGATGACTCCTCAGTGAGTAATTATTAACTATTATTAAAGTTTCTTTCCAAGTCCAAGTTATTTTGCATTGTCCACCCTCATCAATGCAATGCTCTTGTGTTATTCACTATATCATAGAGACCAGGTAGTATTTCCTTTTTTTTCCATTCAATCTATTTTCAAACTTTCTCTTTTTTTTTTTTTTTGTTTGGCTTTTCATACTTGTTTTCTGTTCTGTTCTTAAGATAAATTTTGAAAACAGGCAAACAAATCTGACTTGTGTAATATGATGGGTTGTGAAAAGTCCTTATTATATACTTCGGTGATCCATATCTCTATCAGGATAGAGAACATTTCCATAAGCCCAGAAAGTTTCCTCTCATATCCCTTTCCATTTGATCCTTCCCTCAACTGCACAAAGGCAATGTCCTGAATTTTTTTAACCATAGATTAGTTGTCTCTGCTCTAGAAATTCAAGAATACAAAAACTCAAAAATAACATTACCATAACTCTTTAATTCATGAGGTATAAATTCCAAACAAATACCAACATATGAAATGTGTAATGAGTCAAATAAGATAATTCCACTTAAGCTTACATTAGACATCAAATTTGCTTTTACTATTGATATTTAATTTGAGCTGAAAATAAGTTGTCTTGAAGATTAAAACTGCCAGCATAATTTTTACCCAAGTTCAGAATAGAGGAGTTTTAGTTCCCTACATTCCTCTCATTACTTAGGTATTAAAGAAGCCAAGGGGATATTACAGAAAAAAAAAAAAAAAAGAAATCTTTGAGCATGAAACTTGGCTCGTTCCCTCTCTCTCTATATATATATTGATATATTACACTTACATGTAAACACATATTAGCATATAAACTTTGCTTTCATACTAATTTAAACATTTAAAAACAATTAGCTTAGTAGATTTCATTTCTTAAATGTTTTCTCATCTCAGTATTTTAAGCTTTTCACACTATTTTTTAAACAATAAAATATGGATATGCTTGAGATATTCAAGGTATTTTAGTTTGTTAATATTTTTGAAGATATCTTACTGTTTTAACAAATACTAAGGATCAACGAATTAGTAGCAGCTGTATAGAATTAATGATTTTTCTATTTTTAGGCTGTTGAGCTGCACCCCACAGGCCTACAAGGCTTGTGCTTGCCCAGCTTCAAGACCAAAGAGCCCAGAGTCAGTGACAGAGCCATCAAAGGTTTAATGGATGGGAGATCTTACATGTCTGAAGCAAGGTTCTGGAGCAACACCCCACCATGTATGCGGCTCACGCTGAAGCAGGACAAAGCAGGCAGGCATCACTCCCACGGGCAGGGGGAGGTTACCGCTTATAAGGGAAATTGACGGCAGTTTGGCTCATCAGTTACCAGGGAAACCAGCAGAGGGGCCCGCCCCTAACTGCCCCTTTGATAGGCTATCATGGTGGCTAAAATTAGAACAATCATTAGCTGGGTCATGGGGCAAGCATGTAGGAAGGTCTGTCAGGTGAGTAGGGTATAGGTGGAGCAGGCACTGGTTTAACAGGGGACTTACAGAGAGCAAGAGAACAGCTATCTTGAGTGGCCTGACCATACATAGGTATGGATTTATTTTAATATAAAACTGACTACAGGGACTTCTGGTGGTCCAGTGGTTAAGACTCCATGCTTCCAATGCAGGGGGCACGGGTTCTATCTGCGGTAGAGGAGCTAAGATCCCACATGCCGCACAGCCTAGCCAAAAAACCCCAAAAAAACCAAAACAAAAAACTGACTACAACTTGCTGACCAAATTTTCCTAATTATGCTAATCAGTAGTTAAAAAATTGTAAATAATGAACTGAAAAGCATACATGAACAGTTTTGGTGTCCATTTTCTTCACCAAGAATAATGAATCAGTGGGCTTTGCATTCTATAATAATATTATTATTATTATTTTATTTATTTTTTTTTTTGGTACACGGGCATCTCACTGTTGTGGCCTCTCCCATTGCGGAGCACAGGCTCCGGACTTGCAGGCTCAGCGGCCATGGCTCACGGGCCCAGCCGCTCTGCGGCATGTGGGATCTTCCTGGACCGGGGTACAAACCCGTGTCCCCTGCATCGGCAGGCGGACTCTCAACCACTGCGCCACCAGGGAAGCGCCTATAATAATCTTATTATTAACTGATGCCAATACTACAAACATTTCACTGAAGTCAGTACGCATTTCTAAATAAAAGAAGGCAACCTGGAAAACACTGACACATTTACCTTTGTAGGTTAGCTTGAGTCGTGGAATATTTTGCTTAGACGTTCCAGTGACTGGAAGAAACAGCATGGTCATGCTTAGCATCATCAGGGCATGAAAAAGGTAAAAATCATGGTTTCTGGACTTTGGTCTCTCATCTTTAGTAACAATCATGATGAAAACAATGTTCTGTTTCAAACAGCGTTAATTTAATCTAAAAAGAAGAAAAGAACTATTAATATAGCAGTTTGCAGATTTTCCTACACTTACTAAATTATAATTTTCTGAATGTATGTAGATTAAAAAAAATACTTGCTCCTTCTCTCTTGTTCTGCTCTTAGAAATTGTTGCAAGGGAAACGAATCAGAACTGAGTAATAAAATTCAGGTCTGGCTTTTACTCAGAGGACATGAGTACAGAACTAAAAAGTCAACTACTTATGTTAATTAGCAACTATTCTTCTACTAAAGTTTTTGTTTTGTTTTGTTTCATGCAAATATAGGAGTGAACAATTCTTTCTGTAACTTGATGAATTCTTGATCAGATAAGAATACTGGTAGAAGCCTACACTTTCCCCATACCATCCTCAAATGAAAAGATCCTCAAGCAAAATTTAATAAAAGCTGTCATTTTGAGAGAGTTCGTTTCTGACAAAAAATATTTTAACAGTTCACCTAAAATTGGGACAACTGGACATGATCAGGTCAGGGCCACCAGTATAGATTTTAGGCCTGGGACAAGGCAATCTTACCTGCACCCTATACTACTCCACACAGGGCAGCACTGAATATAAAAACAAACTGTAAAATGTAAGGGTTTATAAGAGGAGGCGGTTTTCAACTAGGTTGCCATAAACAAGCTGCCTTGGTTGTCTTTGTTAAGACACGGAATAAATCAAAACACACATATTTCAAACTAAGTCTGGTAATAATAATTACAAATAATATTCGTTGAGTATTTACATGAACCAGATAGTTTTTAAGAAGTGTGTTACATAAATTAAATCACTTAATGCTGTTAAATTAATGAAAGAAGTAGGTCATTAGACTGAGGTGGCTCTAATGCCATGGTAGCCTACCTAATCAAACAAAATCTAAGCCTGTAAATGCCTCAAAGCTATGAACTCAGAACTCTAAGAACAACCAGTTAACTAGGCTTTAAGCTATAGCCAATAAAATAATTTCCTTTCTTTGTCTCCTAAGTCTTCGCCCTAATATCCTATCAGTGGGGTGCTCCTAACCACTTCCAGTTTGGTGCCGTGCAATTCAAACTGATTTTTGCTCAAATAAACTCTTAAAATTTTTAAATATGCCTCCGTTTATTTTTTAATCAATGCTAATGACAGTCAAGAAAGATAGGTAATTATTTTCCTCATTTTACAGATGAGGAAACTGAGGTACAGGGTTTGATAATTCTCTCAAGGTCATGCGGTAAATAAGAGATGGATTGAAACATTTGTTCTGGACTTCAGCTAGAATCAGCCTCCTTAGCCCCTAAGTCTTTAGGTGCTTTTCATTATGGCAGAATCAAGTGACCTTCAACTCTTGATGCAGTCTTCAACTTCTCTTCTTTCTCCTCGACATCTTCTAATAAATAGTCCACAGAAAGGATCTTGCTATGCGTACTTCCTGGGAGGATTCCAGATGTGGTACCTGCTTCAAGTGCCAATAATTTCTTGGTAACAGTTTTGGCCATAATGAAAAAGTATTATACTTTAGTATTTTTGTAATTATTTAATATCAAAATAAATACTTTATGTCTATATGGCTTAGTTTTAAGAGAATGTCTAAATAAGAGTATTTTTCTTATGGTAGATCAACTCTTTACTAAAATGCCTCAATGACTTTGAATCAAGGTTCCTTAAACTTACCTTAAATCTCAGAAGTTAAGATCAATCTGGGAATGTGAAATAAAATAAAATATAGTGATGTATTAATTTTTTATACAAGACAAACATTCTAAGAATAGACTACAAATTGGATGTTGTTTCTTCATGAAACGTTGAATATGAATGCTTAATAAAGTATATTTTCCCAGTTACTTTAATTACCCGTAGGAAGCACCAAACTATTCTTTGTGTGTAATCCATGCATATTTAGTTCTTTGATTTAGAAGATTACTACAAATGAAAAGAATCAAGTTGATTTAGATACTCATTTAAGAATATCATAGGCCACACATAACATATTTTATTCACATTTACTTGACATTTCTTGATGAGTTCACCTAATGACATAATTTAAGAGAAAACAGGAAAGTCTGTCTGACCAAAAAGATCTACACTATTAGCAGTCCTTAATGAAAATTCTAGTTTTAAAAATTACAGTAATATATATATTAAAATAAAATAATAAAGCCCTTCTGTAAATAACATATTTAAAACAAACTCTTAAAAAAATAAAGAGTTGTATTATTTCAAAACTAGTAGGAAAACGCATATGCTATTGGCAAAAAACAGAGTCACTTAACTGGTCTACAGAAAAATTTATCAGGATTAGTTTTAAGTTATATGAGTTTTAATTTACTCATTGTCTTAAGAAATGCATTTTTGCAACTTTTCAATTTTACATTTACACCAGTAAAACACAGATGCATTCTTTGAGTTACAAATTCTCCTTAAAAACTTGCTGTTTTTTGCAAATAAGAATATGCATTTAAGAATATATAATACACATATACTTATGGTCATTAACACCATAACTCATCTCCAATGATTTATTAAAGTGAGAAGAAAGATAAGATTCTTATTTGAAAGCAGTTGATTATACACAAAGTATCATGAAATAATTGCTAAAATCGAGATATTTATAAGATGCTATGGAAGGCAGCTCAAAGGAGTTATCATATAGGTTTAAGTAAGACAAGGATAGTTTCATAGAGGACAGAGAAAGGAGAATAAAAAGCAAAAAGAGACATTTCCAGGTGACAATGATACCTAGTTAAGGGTTCCTGAAAAGCTGGAAGCATGATAGGCCTGAGAAGGGCGAGACAATGTAGCATAATCCAGTGGAGTAAAAGAGAGAAAACCAAAGAGGGATTCAGCTTAAATGTGCCTCATGCCTGTTCTGGTAGCTAATATACAATTTTAGGACTCAAACAATGCTGTTATTCCACACTGCCTTTGGTCTTAGATCATACGTGCCAGTTTCATCCATATTCATCAGTGCTTCTCTAATCCCACTTGCCTGTTTCTTTTACTTTTCCCTATGTCCACATGTTAGCAGAAAATCACAGCAGCTACACAGCTTTGCCACACAAACATGTATCCTTCCACCTACCCATACCCTCCAAAAAGAGTGAAAGGTTAGTTGAATATAGAGATTAAGTATATTAAATTTCTCATTAGGTTTAGTTTTTCTGAGCTTCTGGACATATGTAATACTACTTTTTTTATGACATGTAACAATGCATGTAATGTGAATGTATGTTTATGTACACACACCAAAGAGAGGAAACTTTCCGTGTGTTCATTTTATTAGCAATAATGACCTCAGTACAGGACATTTCCTGTGAATTAATGACTAGTTGAGGTTAATGGCCCTTAGCTATGTACTGAGATATCTACTCCTCCAACTGGTCATTAATCGCTAAGACATGCCCTGTGGTCCAACACTATAAGTTAAGAAGATTGATGTTTTTGTTTCCAATGAACAGTCACACTGTTCCTTGTTGCCTAACTCATTAATATTGTTAAATAACTTAAAAATCAAAGCACTGCTTTCCTTGCTAGTATGACATTCTGATAAGTGCCCACACGTGCTGAACCATTTGTTAAGGGTGAGGGACAAAATAAAACAAAAATTCTGAAACTTCTGGAACTTTTTTTTAAACTTTATATATTTTTCTCCTGATTCTTAGTTTTTCCTCCCAACAGTCCTTTGAATTCAATAGTTAATCTTTTAATTGAGATAATTTATGGGTTAAATATATTGCCAACAACGTCTCCAATAATCTATTGATATTTTGCTATCTTCCAGTGCATGTCAGTGTGTGTGTGTGTCTGTGTGTTTTTTGTACCTACACGTGTGTGTGTCCCGCATCTGGGAGGAATTACAGAGAGAAGTAGGTGTGATTTAACCTAAAGTGGGTGGATTTGGTGAATTGCATAGGTTATACTGCATGCTACTGTCTGTAACAAGCTCGACCTGGAGCCAATTAACTGCACATAATCTGTTCCACATGTTCACTGGGACAAACAGCACCCTTGGGGATCTTCAGATGTGGAGCCAATAGGGAGTGTTGTGATTATGAGAGATTTTTACACACTGTTCCACTAAATCAGAGCTCCAAATGCATAATCTCACACTCAAGAAGGCCTTGTGCCATTTCCCAAAGGAATACAAAGAGTCCAGAACTTATTAGATGGATGGTAAATCGTCAAAAATATTATTTGTGGAGCAAGGAATATAAAATTTTACATGTGAACTTCATTGATTTCTCTTATTTATATCTATTTTTTGCAAGAACATATAATTATAGTGAAAAAATAGACCATATGCATAGGAAAAGAAAATACATGATAAGTCTTCACACCTGAAAACCTTAAACTTAGTCATAGGATCATTTCTCAGGTATGTGCTTGTGTGTGAGTGCATACGTGCGTGTGCGTGTGTGTGTGTGTGTGTGTGGATTGGAGAAGGGAGAAAAACAATCCTTGATTTCTTAATTTATAAAGAGTTACTTGTCCTTCATACCTTTGTGGTGGTGCACATGAGGTCACTTGAGAATTTTTATCTAACTCACGAGACACAAAGAGCTATGACCATCCCCAAATTAAAGGTACTACCAGTATAAACTCACTTTAGCCTAACTGCAACTCATATTTTTGAGTTATTGTTTGATCAGATGGTTTTCCTATAGAGTACATAGACTGATCAATTTAGTAACATTACTTCCTGGCAGGGACATGGAACATAGCAACAAAGAACCAAAAAAATTATAGAATAAACTTGAACAACAAAGAGACAACATAGGCAAACAAGGAGAAACTTTATGTTTGCAGAGCGATATCTTATATTCCATTGATCAAGTGCAGTGACATCAAAGCAGAATGCAAGTGAGATGAATGAAGGCTCACTGGAAGGGTGCTTGGAACGCTAAAATTGTCATTTACATTTATTTTATGTCATCCTTTTCCAATTTCTCTTTCTGTGTTTTCTAATATACAAGATATTCTACTACTTTAGTACCATCGAGGGTATGCAATCACTGCTC